ATGACTAAAGTGTGGTGGTGGGGGGGGGGGGGTGCTTTAAGCCTCCCCCGCCAGAGAGGTGCGAGGTGGAGTGAAGCCCTCTGGACAAGTCCCAGTTAGAGCCCCCCCAAGCTACCCAGGTCTGGGCTCTCCAGGCGATGCTATGCAACTCACAGATTTTATAAATACATCACTGCTATTTACAGTCCATGGAAAACGGATTCAAACTGCCTTTTATACACTGGGCCTGGTGGCTCAGTGTGATATGGTAGGACTTACTTGAGCGGGTCCATCCCTCACAGCGTGCAGCTTCAGTTTATACGAGGTGTTTTTCTCTCTTTTTTTAAAAAAAAGTTTCACATGAAGTAAGCAAAGGCTTTGTTCATGGCACTCCTTTTTTAAGAATGGCCCTTATTTTTCACCAGCTGCATGAGTCACGTTCTCTCCACGCATTCGGAGCTCTTTGTTACGCCTGAAACCTGGGCGTGAACAGGTTGAAGACAGATATTACGTGTAATACTAGACTTAAAAATGCAACCCAATATATAGATAAAGAATCATATGCCCAGCCCAGTTGTCATGTCTTGCCTCTCTGGCCCTCCCATTATCTCCCTAGTGTGGCTCTAATAAGCCAATGCCTTTTGCTTGTTTTGTCTTACCTCTCGTTTCAGCCCTCATGTGGATCACTCCGGCTGCCTCTCATTTGCTCCCTTGTCAGTCCTGCATAAAAGTGCTTCCCAGTGCTGTGCTCCCCAGTCCGGTCATTAATGTCATCCCCTGCCTGTGCTCCTGTTCTTTCCCCAAACTAATCTTCCCATTTGTCCCCTCAAAGTCTGCTTTGTTTTTGTCCTGCCCCTTGTACTTTGAATGAAACCCCTTTTTGTCCACCGTGATGCTTGCCCATGACTTCTTTGCTTTCTGAATGTGACAACAGTAGTCTGATCATACACTAGCCCTAGATAGCAATTATACTCCATCAGCCTCTTGGGAATCAGAAGACCTACAGCTGCAACGTAGCTTATAAGGTCCCCAGCCAGCCGGCCAAGCAGTCAGGTCTGGTAGCGCAAATTTTGATGTGACAGCTTCACTCTGCCTCTTTAGGGTCTGAGACTCCCACACAAGACAAGTCAAGCAATTATTATTGGTTACCTGAATAGTCAGGGGTATCTGTGAAATTCGGACGTATGACCGGAATAGACCATGTTACGGACACTATCATTATTGCTGTATTCCTGCAGCGTGACACACATTCAAGAACATTTCACAGATCTCATCTTCAGCCCTAAAACTCAAAGTCAGTGCACAAACTGACACCTTCAGCTGGTATATCAGTTTTGCTGGCCATGTGGTCTGTATAAAACCTCAAATATACTACTGCCTCCTCTTACATAAAACCATTACCATTTTCATCAGTTTCTGTACAAAATATCGCTTAACAACACTTATGACACATAATTGCACTAATGATAATTCCTTTTTCATAACAACCATAACAACAATTTCTAGGTGTACTGATTTAATCCGCGTTATATAATTTCTGCCAATTTTAAATGCAAAATAAATCCACTAATCTCGCCTCAGGCTCGGGAGAACGAAGAAGTCAGAAAGAGGGTTTTACGTCAACAAACGCTGCATGCCTTTCCTCTCTGCTTTTATCTCCCCGGTTTGGGAATAAATAGTCACTCGGTATTAGCGGCAAAGGCACTTTATTCCAGCCCGCTAATTGCCGCGAGAAGTGCCGCTGCTTTTCTTCCTCCCAAAAGACGCGAGTGTGTAACAGGCTGTAGATACTGTATGCCACTTGGTCTCCCCATTTCCATCTTCTAAGGCACTTCAAGGCTGCACTGTACGATCCGCCCCCTGCAGCTGGCGGGGGTGACAGTGCCATCCACCTCTGGCTGCATTTACAACATATAAAAGACGCGACCAGACACACCAGCTGCCGTCTCAAAATGTGCGAAACACGGCGCCGCGTAGAAGCTCACATGCATCTTTTTGGTTCCAGTCTCTTACCTCTGCACTTTCCACATGAACTTAGTTTCCACAGGGTGTCACAGCACACTTCACCCTCTTGGGAAAGGTCGTCTAACTATAAGAAGAATATTCCTGTTTGCTGAGCTTTAAAGATAATCTGAATATGTTAGGATGTGTACGGAGACCAACCGCCCTGCTCAACTGAAAGGTCACCTGCGCGGTTCAGAGGCTCGTGGGTTTTTTTTTTTTGCGATTTAGCGATGCTGATTTCTGCGATCTGGATTTACTGAAAACATCACAAACAACGCCTAAGGTACCAGAGTTAAGCAGACATGTAAAGCGAGTGAAGAATAAAAATTTCGTGCATATTTCGCTGCCACGCTTGCCATCTACAGCCGGCTCGCAAGCCCGGCTCATTTTCGCCTTTTCGTGTTCGCCTCCTCCGACATCCACACAATAAATTAAAGCACAAACGGCAGCGTTTGTATCAGCGCGGAAACCCGTGCATGCTGGCATAAGGTAGTGATCAGACTCCCCTGTGGAAAGACACAAGCAAAGGACATTTAAAAATAAGCGTAAAAAGTACCTGATGAGGATAGCGACTCCCACATCCTCACAGTTCTCGTAGACGCGTCCCCATGTGTCCTGGATCATGCCCGTCTCCGCCTCAGACAGCTGGTCGGCACGCTCCCTCTGCTCCATAGCCCCGTCTCCTCGCACCTCCTCCATCCAAGACCGAGCTTGCCAGCGGCGGCGGCAGCAGCAGCAACAGCGGCTGTGAGGAGAATTAAGAAAGCAGAACCCACGTGGGACGGAGGTGACAGCTGATCAGGAGGGTGAGCCACACTCACCCCTAGGCACCCTTCTCCTCCAACTCTGTCCTCTGTCTGTCCTTTATTCCACTCTTGGGCTCAGAATGAGCTCTTCTTCTCTGAACTTGTGTCTTATGGTTTTGAGGACCTGACAGAGATAGCAGTGAGTATTCCTGTATAACAAACCAACCCACTCCTTACTCCTCTCCCTCTCTCTCTCTCTCTCTCTCTCTCTCTCTCAGATATACACATAGCAGCAGGCATCAGGGCTGCTCTCAGTAGGATTCAGGCAGATCTACAGGCTGGGGGGTGGGGTGGGGGGGGGATATCAGTGGGTTAAAAACTTAATGCTTTGTTTAACAGTTTAAAATGTAGTTTTTGACATTGCGATATTTTTTAAAAGAATACAAAAAGTACTAATTAATCGATAAGCATTTATAACACCAAGGAAAACATACAAAAGTAACTGAAATCTGATAAAAAAATGAAAATTCATGCCCCCTTTTCTTTCCATGGTAGTGCCAGTCAAGGTTACTTCCAAAAATATTATAACTTAAATTTCTTGTGCTGTTATAAATCTCTGGAGATTTTCTTTGGAAGTGCGAACAGCTTCCATTCATAAAGCCTTTCTCATAGGCAAACAAATGCTGTTCCAATGTTTACAGTTCCTTGTAAAAAGGAAAAAGCCAGCAGGCCGATGTTAAACAGCTCTGATCACGTCAAGCTCCCAGCTGCTCTCTGCAAACTTGTTTAGTGTGTTTGACGGCATGACTTATGTCAGCTGAGCTAAAGGTGAATGCAGTGCTGTCTATAGCCTTACTACATGTGCGTCTGTCATAATTTTCCAGAAACTGGTGATGGATACCTGGTGACATTTCAATGCAGAAGCTGTGGAATTACTTTAGAAACAACTTGAAGTCTGATTTCTCAATTCCTGTATCACTGAGAATGGAACCTTTGACTTGACCACCCAGCGTGGTCAGATCGCCTTAGAGTTTTGGGTTGTGCTTACACATTCCTCATCTTATTTACTTTGGAAAAAGATAGCTATAAAGAGATATGTGCTGTATCAAATGACCACCGGTGGTTTATGTTTGTAGTATTTCTTGCAATCTAATCACGTAATGAGTCCTTTCATGTTGCATGCAGGATTCATGCTTACACTCTTTAGCTTCACTTTTAAATAGAAATGGGTTCCAGCTTTTAAAGACAGAGAAACAGACAAAAATAGTAAATAATTCAAACTCGCAAATGGAAACGAAAAAAACATTCAGAAGTGTTTCCGTTCGATCCTCCTGGTGCAATCAGGGGCCTGCTGTTTTAACCAGGATTTGCATATTGATTTGCAATTACATGAAACTCCATGCTGCAATTTTGATGGTCAGCAGATTCCTCCGCAGAGCATTTGTAGGGGGATGAAACTGATGCGATAGAATACGGACGGCAGCAGCAGATAATGAAGCTAAAGAATGTGAACACTGGTGGCGCAAGAGGGGACGAAGGTTCATGCAAAAAACTGCAGCCTGACACTGGAATTTCTGTTCAAACTGTGAATATATTCCAATACGGAGACAGCCGCTCACAGAATGAGATCTGAAAGGTGATAAGCTGCTGTCTGGATAGAGGAAGGGAGCCCACATTGATTATGCAGAAGAGGCGTTTGAAAGGCTTGCTATTCAAATGAAAGTGTCACTGGAAACAAAAAACCATGACAGATTTCTGCACGAAGCCAAGCACTGCGCTCTTCAGCACTCCACAGACGATGGCAGGGCGACCACACCCTGATGACTGTGAAAGGCAGATGTTGCTCTGGTGACCTGGTCCCGCGTGGGCCTGTAAAGGGGATTGTTTCTCCACTTGGTTTCCTGCGATCTCTCTGCGATTGGAGCATCCATGCTTTTTCGGATAGCAATTTAAGAGATCAGTGCTGTTTGGTTCATTCATAGTTTGTGTTGCCAATGATGCTTGAATATTTGATGCTGATATCGTTCCTGATAAAGCAGCTAGATGTTCTATTGGGATTTATTGGGACAGATGGTTATGTTTGTAGTATTTCCTGCAATCTAATCACGTAATGAGTCCTCCGCCAATTCCTGGCTCTTAAAATAACTATGGATTTATTCATACGTTGTCCCTTTTGTCTATTTTGTTCGATGACTTAATACAAAAACTGCGATCTCATTTTGGGACTTCTGTTCACATTCAAGGATTATTATTAACGTCTTGACAGAATCTAATTTACAAAAAGTTAATATTTTGTGCCAGACTACCGTATCAAGTTGGAAAGCAACCATGTGCAGAGAAAGCCTTTTGTTTTGTTGCTGAGGAGCACAACTATGGATGGATCACCAGCCATAACTAGAGGAAAAAGCCTTGCTGGCTTCCCTTGTGGGTTCACAGGTGTAAAAATAAACTTTTGTTCTTGGCATGTTCAAAGGAAAGAAGCAGGCCTCTCGACGTTCCTCTTTGGGGCACACCAGAGGGGTGGGTTTGCCCTTGATGACGCCAACGAGCAGGCTGCCGATTCCATCCCCTGTCCTCCCACCATGCCGACACACTTTGTTGCAAACATACATTTCATGGCATGTACAAGAGAAGAAAAACATCCTGTTTGCAAAACAGTAATGAATGCCTTCCATGACAAACTGCAGACCTACCTGTAAGTGCTGCTTAAAGCTTTTCACGTTGGTCTTGCACAATGCACATGTAAACGTGGCAGGCGCTTGCTATCTAGCTGCTGGAGTTGTTTTCCTCTGTTGGTGTTTCTCATTCCTTCTTTCTTTGTGCATTCGCTCGCACATGGCAAGCGCCACCTGGTGGACGGACGGGTGGCCAGCGGGGCTGTGTCTGGGTGTTGAGCCACTGGCTGCCTGTCGTACCACCAGGTCGTACACCTCAGTGCACCGGCTCATTAGGAGATTTAGTCTACTGCAAACGATTAGAACCCTGCTCTTCGAATCTGGACCTCCATTCCAAATCCAGGCCTTGTTTTCAGTTCTCCCATGTAGTTATCTTAATAATTATTGATTCACGCCTGGCTCACAGGTACAGGAAGGCTGGAAAGTCTGCAGTGCGTGGACCTTTGAATGGCCCTGGATTAAAAGAATGGGGCAGAGACCTTGTTTACAGGGCTGAAGAAAGAGCAAAGTGTGTTTGTACTATAGCCTAAATATAGTGTTAACAGTCTGAATAGGTTATTTAATCCATTTTCCTAATGTCAGTCCATTTTCACATCTCAGCATCAACTACTTGAGACAATTGACCTTATTTATAGTCGAAAAGTTGCATATTCGCTGTTTATAGCGCTGACATGACAACAGAAGACCACGGTCTGACTTTGCATAAAAGAGGAGTGAAACTACCCAATGCAAAGCTTCCCAATGATTTCCCATATAAGTGTGTTACGCTTCCAGTCCCTCTCTCTTATTTTCCGTCTTCCCAAACACCTTCCTACACTAGTTCATAAGCTGACCAAGAAAAAAAAAAACATTTACCGTGGATCGCCACTAACTGTTTGTGTGAAAATGACACTGCTCTATAGTTTAAAAAAAAAATACACAGCGTGTTTACATATTTATTCTGGGACAACAAAAACAGGCCAGTCTTACAGAAAACCTTCCAGCAGTTCTACAGTAAAAGCTCAGTCATCTGCAAATTACGGATCACATCACACATCAGTAAAGCTTTCTCCTTATTAGAGTGATATGAATCTCTCTGCTTAACAGGAAGAATATCACTTACTATTTACTAGTATCTTTGTCTCATCTCCAGTATTATTTACACCGTACGCATTATGTTCATTTCTATGCAATCCATTATACTGTGTATACAATACTGTTTATCATGATCATTATCTTGCAGTAATACTACAACTCTCAACCGCTGCCTTTTGCAAGTGCAATAATTTATCTTATGTGCAATAATTCACTAGCAATATTATTCTAGTATGTTTTGCAGTGTATTTCTTCATTGCTATATGCTATTTAAAAAAAAATCTTTCTTTTAGCTTGTATAGTTTTTATCAAATGTACTACAGTATCCAAATGTCATCTCATTGTACTCGTATAGTGACAACAAAGATATCTTGTATCTTTTATTTTGTACATTGTATCTTTTGCAGCCCAGAAGCAGTGACAGGCCTATATGTGATGGCAGGTACAAATTTGATTGGGGGGGGGGGGGGGGGGGGTGAGATACTTCTCATGCATTAAGAAGAGATGGTGTGGAGTATGGGGTGAAGAGGACTGCTATGAACATATGATGCATCTGCTTGGGAAGTCAATAATTCTGAAAGCGGGTGGCAAATTAGGACACGAAGCAGGGTGATATTAAAAGCCTCCATAGCCTCCCTCCTTCTGCTGCCAAGTAGTGGGTGGATTGTTTTTCTAGTTTTTCAATAATTAGCACTTTAATCATGTTTGGTTGTGGTAGCAGTATAGTGTAGGTCAATAAACATGGGAGCTGATTAGTCTGTGACTCCAGGTCACCCTGGCGAATTGAAATGTCCCAACTGGAAAAACACTCAGCTGCCCAAAATCCCAGTTTCGTTCTTTAATCCAGCATGTATCACATCAGGCAGTCTGCTGAGTGATTGATCTGTTCATCTTAACAAATTTGGGAGAAAAATGCTTTTGTTGTTAAAGCTTCCTCTGGATTTGTGATGGATAGTGGAAAAATCACAGCCGGGCAAGGCCTAGGATAGATCATCAATGACCAAAGAGAAATGAACTGTTGGATTCTCAAAAAACCCAGTGCCATTTTTCTGCATATTATATTTTGTTTTGAGTGCTGTGCATGTGTGTTGAGAGCCATACATGTGCTTACCAAACAGAAATCTTTACATGTGATCAAATACCTAAAATACCCTAATATAATATGCAAACATTTGTTTGGTATTCAGTACTAAGGACTGAAAATTCAGATCTTACTCAAATCTTAACATAATGATAATGCATTTATGTATTCTCTTCAAATGCACAAATCTTCAGCAAGAACATACCTACGACGAAAATATAGCGTCTATTTAAACAATTATGGACGTATGCTGCCCTCTTGTGGGAATTCTGTGAAGCGACGACGCATTGTAGCCCCAGTTTTACCAGATTTCCTGAGAAGTTGAGTTACACGTCAGAATGTAACCTGTACTGGTGAGCGGACGTGTACTGTGACCTCACCAGTTCCTGCGTATCAGCTGACCCCGGATACAAGGAGACATGGAACGTGTAGCCGATATGCCTAACAACGGCGGTAAGACCCCTTCTATAAATACTTACGTCTGACACGGATATTATTTTCGTTACAATTTATTATACATATTATACACATTATTTCGATATGTCGTTTTGTGCAGTGGAGTTGTCGCGCCCGGCATATGTACGCCACTACAATGCGGACTTGTTTTTTTCTGCGTAATCACGCCGTAGGGTAGACGTTGATTGCGTTCTTGCGTTAAGCATGCCGAACCGTTATTTCATGCGGCGATCGGAGCGTCGAAAACGTCCGAAAACACGAGAGCGCTTTTAAGGCTGGATCGTGTGCACGATGCATAATTTTGGACTTCATCCGCAGTCCCTAGTAGCAAACGTGTACTGCCCCGATACAAGAATTAATGAAAAGCGGAGACCAGTGTACACAAGGGATGCCAATCTCTTTTATTTAGCAGCACGAGTATTAGTTTTAAGGTTAAAGGACATCGGCGGGCAGTTTAAAAATTAGTGTTATAATTTATCTCTATTTTGTGATCATAAAAATAATTCTGTGAAATGGAAATGAAAACGTATTTTTAAAAAAAGTTTTCGTTTTTAAGTTATGATCTTTACCGTTTTTACTCTCATATACTTTTTACATCAGCCGCCCTATAATTATGGGAATTAGAAGCTAAATTGCAAAACTATTTAATGCGTAAAACTTAAGAAGTTGTGGAACTTCTCTGCATGCTGTCCTTATGTCGTTTCTTTGTTTTCACTGCTGTTTACTACAGTGTTCCGGCACCTTGCATTGTCACAGCGACAATAAGTTTATTCCCAGTGCTCCCTACACGTCCGTTGGTGTATGCAGGACCTTCCTCTGCTCATGTTCCTTCACCGTTCCATAGGGTTCTCCATGGCTGGCATTTCCCCCACTCCACGTAAGAGGCAGGTGCGGTTCTCTGCCCGGCATGACATCCTTCTGCTGCGTGAAGTCATTGCTCAGAACCCTTTCTCCTCCAAAGAGCCCGGCAGGATTTGGGCCAAAGTGGGTGAAATAATCACGGCTGCCCTGCAGGACGAGAGCTTTGAGGTGGATGCCAGGCGCTGCCGTGAGAGGACCGCCCTTCTGCTGGATTACTATAAGAAGCAGGACTTCAGCAGCTTGCGCAGGTCTGGTTGGACTTCTTGTAACTGTGTTGCACCCATCTTCTCTTTCTCCATGGCTGGATAGCACCACTATAGTACACATATTATGAGGACTTTGCATAGCTGTCTGCAGAGGGAATGAGAATAGCTAATTCTTAGCAAATTTGACTGTGTCTGACAGATGTAACCAGCCTAAACATGTAAATATGATCTGTTGCTTACCCAGCTGGGGTGGCACGGCGACATGGCGGTTACACTGCTGCCTCACGCCTCTAGGCCTGGGGTCTGTGTCTCTGCCATGGCTCCATGTGTGTGGCCTTTGCATGTTCACCTGTGTAGGGTACTCTGCCCCCCCATGTCCAAAAACATGCCAGATTTGGTGTGTGTGTATCTGTATGTGTGTGCACATGCCCTGTGATGGGTTGGCACTCCATTCCAGGTTATTTCCTGCCTTATGCCTATAGCTTCCTGGGTAGGCCCACAACCCTCCATACAACAAGCAGGTATAGAAGATATCTGGATACTTACCCAGCACTTCAAAAGAGATTCAACATATGTAAATGGACTTCGGTATTATTATGTTTTATTAATTGTAGTAATGAATGTATAAATATAGTTATATTCAATCCAATCATACACACATAAAGAGAGATATAGGAAAGTAAAATTATATTTACCTGTCAAACATATCAATCAAAGAGTCTATGTATATCCAGGTTTGGGACAGAAAGACTTTATGCCCAGAAGGAGGATCTCTTACATGAAGTCCTGGAGCTGGAGGCAGAGAAGGGCCTCATGGGAAGTGGCGAGAGTAAGTACCAGGATGAAGAGCTTCGGAAAAGAGCGATAGAGGAGCTGCCGCTGCCGGAGCAGGACAAACCCAACGTGATGCCCAACCAGACAGCTCCTCCTACAGGTGAGGAGGAGTAGTGTGCTTTTTTTTTTTATCGGCTCATACATGACTGCAATATGATTGGCTCTCAAATCGGGTATATGATTTCAATTCAGACACAGCAAGGTGCTAGGCTCAGTTGCAAACGGTGAAGCCTTTTTGTGCATTCCTGACCCCAGCAGCCCCTACCCCAGAGCCAGAGGAGCAGGAGGAGCTACCTGACCTGGCAGCACCTACAGCCAAGCGGCCGTGTCAGTGCTGCTGCCAGACCTACTCCGAGATCCTCAGCTTCCTGGAGAAACGGTCGGAGGCGGAGCACCGTCTGCGCGAGGAGGAGATGGCCCTGCGACGCGAGGAGCTGGAGATCCAGCGGAGCAAGATCGCGCTGGAGAGGGAGAGACTGGGCGCCGAGAGGAAGGAGCGCGAGCGCCGCTTCGAGCTGGAGAGCCAGGAGAGGCAGGTCATCCTGGATCTGCTCAAAGAGAAAGTGCTGAAAGGCTGAGGCCTTGATGAGATACGGCTGGACTGTAGTGAAATTGCAGGAAAGGATAAAAACATTTCTGCCTTTTAAAATGAGACATAAATCCTTTGGGTCAAGCTTTGCAAAGTAGAGCTGGTTTGGTTTTAGAATCATACATGGCAGCTGATTCTTCGGTTAGAAGGAAGCGTTTATTTGTAGAAGGCCCCTGTGAAATGAACCGGAGGACCCCCACTGTTATGCTTGTTTGTTGTATCGGAGCATTTTTGGCTCAGCTAAGTGCCACGGCCCTCATGACTGGGCTGAAATGGATGCAAGAAAGAAATATAAGTATGGATTAAGCAGGTGGAATCCAAGGCGAAACATTTATCTAGTAGTTTTCCACGTTTAACACTGCATTTCTGCTCAAGGGCTAAAGCACTGGGCAAATAAAGGTTTGTGCGGGTGAAGCAAAAGGTGGTCTTATCACCCAGTCACTCACTAAATATGATGATGTGTCATTTCACCTCTCTTGCCCGTAGGTGTAATCAATGAATTGGCCGCATACAATGAATTATGTGTACCTTTACAGCTATATGTAAGAATTTTTATTTTTGTTTGAATGCTGCTGCTTTGCCATGAGAGGGCCCAGTGATTTATAGATATGCACATGTAAATAATAATTTGTTGCTGATACTGTAAAAATCATTTGTATAGTTCTAGATTATGCCTTCAGCATAAACGTGTATTTTAGTCAATTTTTGAAATGTATTTTATACTGGCATTCTATTTTGTTTGTGCTAAATTAAAAAGCGAATAAAAAAATGTGGGTGATTTTCATATATTTTCTGGTAAACACGGTGGACTCGCCAGAACACCCATCAAAATACCAAACGAAAACCACTTACTGCTTACAAATCGTGACCTTTTTGTTTCTGCACTTACGACACCTGAGTGGCTGCAGTACGCGTTGGGGCTCCGCCCTACGCTCGGATTCTCGGCGCCCATTCGTTACATTGTACTGCCAGTCAAGGGAGGGGTTATCCAATGAAAACAGCCGACGGTGGTGTTACAGCAACCGCATTGCAACAAAGTTTTCAAGAACGCGAGAGTACGGAGAGCGCGCCGAGCTTCAATTCGTACTTGATTCATTAACTTGGTTGTTTTTCCCCCTCCTCCACCGTTTTGTATGACTTTTGCTGTTTAATTTGACTGGTATAAAAAAAAGCTGTCGTTTAGGTTTCACGAAATAACTGAAAGTTATTGCAAAATGTAAATATCGAGCTCTTTTTCTACCAGCTACGTAGAGCCCCACGTAACGATAGTTGACCAGTTAGTCGGCGTTAGCCATCCAGGTTGCTAACCTTCCAGATAGCTTGGTGGTTTAGCTAAGAGGCCGATCGGCTGCGGCTTATTTTTAAGTTTGCAACCAGTGTTTAGTAAGGGTTCAGGAGTTTGGCAGTTGTATCAGGTTTATTTTGATAAATTAGCCGTATATTATACTTAGGTTTACAAATGCAACCTTGTTGCTCTGCTATAAGTCAAAAGCAGTAGGTAGAGCTCGCTAGCGCAGTATTCTAACCTAAGTATTTTTTTGGAATCGCTATCCGGCGAATATTTTACTGTAGCGCTCTAGAAGTAAGCCTGATAGCTAACTGCATATTAGCCTTGACCGTTTGACGAGAATAATAAAGAGAAGGAATCATCACAGTAAGTCACTGAAATACGGTTTGCTAACGAAGCCGAGTGTTTTTGTGGCTATGTCGCCGACTAACGATGTTGGGCATGTCTGCTAATTATCTTCACTTTTGTATGATAATGTCCGCCCGAGCGCCAGCCTTTATCAGGTTATAACCGTGACATTGACTCGCTGTCTGTTTTTGGACTGTCGGACTTTGCTGGAAGGGTATCCAAGCATCTGCCCCATTTACTAGCAGAACCAGCGGTGCTGCACCTCTAGCCGTAAGGGAGGGGAGAGCGAGTAGCCCGGCGTGTCGGTGGCAGACATGCACAGGAGGCGTGCGGGGCCTCATAAGTCTGTTTTCTCTCATTCCCAAACTCCGAGGCTGTCGTATGGTCACAGCTCCAGGATGAACGTGGCGAAAAGCGGCTACCGTGTCTTTTCGGCCAACTCGACTACGGCATGCACGGAGCTGGCCAAGAAAATCACCGAGTGAGTATTTCAGCTCAAGTCAGCTTAAAATGGCTCGCGCGTGGCTGCTACGAGGAAAACAAGCTGAATTATTGAGTGAAAGTTAGGCCTCTGTATTGGTCCAAACAACACGTTTCATGGAGCTCGTTTGCTTTTTTAATTGTTTTTCCAGACTTATAAGCACTTAAGTCGCTTTGGCTAAGGGCATCTACCAAATGCCGTAAATATATGTTTAAAAATGTTAATCGCCCTTTTATTTGTATTACGATTGTTTCACTTCTACGGGGATGATCCGCAAATGTGGGTTTCGACCTGAGACTAATGTTTGCTGCATAAATAGATCACGATTTCCAAGTTGCGGTCATTCCTTGCAACTCGCATTCCGTGTTTAATCTTATGTTTAGTTTTAGTTTTGAAATGTAATTAATCAGGGGGATATATTGAGCATAGTTTTATTTTGGCATCTTCGTGAAAGCATCGGTATTCCCCAAAGCCCTTCGTCCCTCACCTGTCGTAGCAGAACTCAGTGTTATGTGACCCTGGAAATAAACAGGCTCATTGGAAATCTAGCGTTAATTAATAACTGATTTTTAAGAGTTGATATCCATGCAGTGCAGAGCTACGCATTATAGTGTTTCCTTTAACTGCATAATAAATAGCACTTGTGTGAAAATGAGTGCGATGCTTCCTTTTTCCCATTCCCTGTTCTATACATAGGCTGTGTGCCTGCGCGTTGTCTGAAAGATTGATTGGGCTGTTCGTCGCCTTTGGTTTTAAATACATCTGCGCCCTTTACCGGTCCCTTCTTTTTTTGACAGGTTTGGCATTACAGAAATGTCAAGTTCCCAAATACCTGTCTGGAGCTGAGGGGTTTATGAAAGGATGCTTTTCAGCCGTGGAATGTTTTGATAATGTATTGGGTTTCTTCTGATGCATCACCGGCTTAGGGGACATTTCCTGTGCTTCTTTAAATAACCACACGCAACAGTGTGAGGATGTAAATTCTTCCAAGGCATGTAGTTTATACAGGACTGTATGCATTTCATCTTATTTTAAATTATAGTATTTATGCATTTTTCTACTGTACATGTATTCCAGCGGCAGTCTATGGACCTAAATGACTTTTTATTGTTTAAGAGATTATTTCATAATTCATCTTTTGGATTTCTGAAATAATATGGAAGCAGTTTAGCAAAACAATATCTTAACGGTTTGAGATTGCTTGACAGTCCGAAAATTAATGCAAAAAGTAAATTAGGTAAATGATATATTGTACGTTAAATTTCAGCCTGAAATAAGAAACTTATTGCTAAATAGATATCTTCCTTTTGCTGAACATTGAGGAGGGTATCAAATAGCAATCTTTTAACATGGCATAATTATTCTATTTTAACTAACTGCCTCAAGTCTGAGTAATACAATCCCCAGAAATTTGTGAAATATCTGTGATCCTGGTGGGCGATTTAACATTTTATTATGTCTCAGGCAGTCAATAAATTATAAATTATAGATGGTGTTATGCTCTGGTCAGTGCAGGTGTGTTCTGCTGACATATGGAGAGCATCGGCATTTCTCATGGTCAAGAATGGCCTTTTGGTTGTTTAAAATTTTTTTGATTCAATGTATTATGGTAGTTTTCTTCTTCATCCCTTAAGGTTTTTTGCAATAAGTGCTTAATAAAACAAAAACAATTTCATTGGTTAAAGACTTAAGTATCCATAGGAACACGCATATCTAGCAATTTAGTGGCTTCAGCAGATATTGCCATTAATCAGAGACCTTCACCTGTGCGATTACAACAGTTCTTTGTTTGAAGCTACAGTGCCTTACTTGGGGTTTGTATGTGAATATTGAGTTTGTGTGGGAGCTTTCCTACCAAGTGCTGAGATGTTGCATGTTGGTTTTTGGTCTGCTGTAGGATTACCCAGGTGCGTCCTTGGGAAGTGTTAATGCTCATCCGTGCCCTTCTTAGTTTAAGCCCTTAATCATTCTCATGGTTGATATATTTTATTCCCGTGATGCAGTCAGGTCTATATTTAAAAAGTGAACTTCCTTGACCTCATTCAGTTGACTGCTGCTGTAAGATGTTTGTATGGTAATTGTCTTCAGCTCAGGGGAATAGTTTGGTTTGTCAAAGAAAATTGCTCCTTAAGCTTATCCTGGCTTTAATCCTTTGGTTTTTGTCATTGCACAATGAATGGATTGCATTAGTAGTTCTATGTTATCATGTAGTTCAGAACTTGTAAATCAGTACGTTTCTCTCTCTAACCGTTCGTGTGCCTGTCTTTGTTTACCTCCTGTGCCGTATGACTGTTTGTTTACTGAAGGGTGTGTTGTTGAAGGAATGCGCTCAGGGGATTTTTAGTTCTTAAATTTGGTCTAACCAGATTATCAAGCCTGGTACCGTTTCCTCCATGTTTTCCTTCAATAGCATGTCTGGTAAATAGAGCTTCAGTTGCTCTTTGGGGTTAGGCTGTCAGTCATGTTGAAGTTTCTTTTTGGCTATGGCAGGATTTTCTCCAGTTAGCCAGCCCAAAGTTTTTTTTTTAAGTTGTTTTTTTCTTCATGCATTTTTCTGGGGCGGAGGTCGCTGAGGTGGTTAAAAAGCTCCTCAGTGGCCGGGCCCCGGGGGGTGGATGAGATTTGCCCGGAGTTCTTTAAGGCTCTGGATGCTGTGGGGCTGTCCTGGTTGACACGCATCTGCAGCATCGCGTGGACATCGGGGGCAGTGCCTCTGGACTGGCGGACTGGGGTGGTGGTCCCCCTCTTTAAGAAGGGGGACCGGAGGGTGTGCTCCAACTATACATTCCTCAGCCTTCCTGGTAAGTTCTATTTGGGGGTTCTGGAGAGGAGGGTCTGCCGAATTGTTGAACCTTGCATTCAGGAGGAGCAGTGTGGTTTTCGCCCTGCCCGTGGAACAGTGGACCAGCTCTATACTCTCCGCAGGGTTTTGGAGGGTTCATGGGAGTTTGCCCAACCAGTCTACATGTGCTTTGTGGACTTGGAGAAGGCATTCGACCGTGTCCCTCGGGGAGTCCTGTGGGGGGTGCTCCGGGAGTATAGAGTGCCGGGCTTCCTTTTAAGGGCTGTTCGGTCCCTGTATGACCAGTGCCAGAGCCTGGTCCACATTGTCGGCAGTAAGTCGGACTCGTTTCCAGTCAGGGTTGGACTCAGTCAGGGCTGCCCTTTGTCACCGATTCTGTTCATAGTTTTTATGGACAATTTCTTGGCGCAGCCAGGGCGTTGAGGGTGTCCGGTTTGGTGACCTCAGGATTAGGTATCTGCTTTTTGCAGATGATGTGGTTCTGTTAGCGTCATCGGACCGTGACCTTCGGCTCTCACTTGGACAGTTCGCAGCTGAGTGTGAAGCGGCTGGGATGAGAATCAGCACCTCCAAATCCGAGACCATGGTCCTCAGCCGGAAAAGGGTAGAATGCGCTCTCTGGGTCGGGGATGGGGTCCTCCCCCAAGTGGAGGAGTTTAAGTATCTCCGGGTCTTGTTCACGAGTGAGGGGACGATGGAGCGGGAGATCGACAGGCGGATCAGTGCGGTGTCCGCAGTGATGCGGGCGCTGCATCGGTCTGTCATGGTAAAGAAAGAGCTGAGCCAAAAGGCGAAGCTCTCCATTTACCAGTCGATCTATGTTCCAACCCTCACCTATGGTCACGAGCTGTGGGTAGTGACCGA